GCGAAAAGTTGCGAGGGTTTAAAGATCAGGGGCTAATCTGTGATAAAAATAATCACGGATAGGTCCCTGGCCGAAAATAAAATAAAAGAAAAAGACCATCAAATGAAAGTTCGCTATCAGGGACAAACGAGTGAATACGTTCACTAACAGAGACGTTCGAGCGAACGCTCGCTAATTAGCAAACTCGAAAAAACCCGTTCTAAATCGAAAACCGAAAAAATGTAAACCAAAAAACCGAATAGTTTTATACCTAAAACCGGTGAAAATCCGGCAAGACGGCAGCGGCGGCTCGGACGTCGACAGGGCGGCGGCTCCGGTGGGTCTCCGGCGGCGGCGAGGGCGTCAGGGGGCTCGGCGCAGCTCGGCAGTCAGGATGGAGGGGGCGGCATCGGTCGGGAGTGGCGGGGCGGAGCGGGGCGACGGCGGTGAAGCTCGGCGGCGGTGGCAACTCCGGCGAGGGTGTGGCGGCGGCTGCGGGCTCCGGTGGCTCGGGTTTCGAGGGAAACGAGACCGGGGTCCGGGCTATATAAAGGGGGAGGAGGAGACTTGGAGGAGGGGCGAGGTCGAGGCGGTGGAGAGGAATCCGGGGCGGAGACGGCGGCGGCCGGCGGCGCGTGGAGGCGCTGGACTCCAGCTCGGGGTCGGGGACGACCGGGGTGGGCCGCTGGGCTGCGGCCTGGCTCGGCCGCGAGCTGGGCCGCTAGCTGGCCTGGCTCGGTCGGCTAACATTTTTTTAAAATATTCCGCCCGAATGAAATCCTAATAAAATACAAAAAATCTAAAAATGCCAAAAACAATTTTCATCGCCTAATCCTAATATTTAGAACAAAGTGAACATTTTTCTGGCCTAAAAATGCAATTTTCAAAAATGCATATTTTTCTAATTCAAATAAAATATTTATTTGATTTTAAAAAATTTCCTCCAATATTCCTCTCTTTTTGAAGAAGTCATATTATCTTCCCTCTTTTATTTTTAATATTGAAAATAATTGGAGAGAAAAATATTAGAATCAAAATGATCCTCTTTTCAAATTTGAGAAAAATTCAAATATGAAAATTTATGAAATCCCCAACTCTTTCCTTGGGTCCTTGAGTTGCTTAAGATTTCTAGGATCTCAACCAAAATGCAAATAAAATATGATATGCATATGATGACCTATGTATAACATTCAAATTGAAAATTGGGATGTTACATGACTACACCTCATGAATCCCCAAGGTTACGATCCATATGTTACCCTACTAAACCTTATTGTCATCGGTGTTCGGTATAACACTCCACGTTCCCCTTGCTCCTAGCCTCACTGGTGCTCAATCTCCATGATCCTGGGTACCTGCGGGAATGAAGATCGCAGACAAGACAAGAGACACTTCACGAAACAATTTTATTTCACACATACGAGACGTTATGTCAAAGACTCCCATTGACCCCTTCACCAAATATTGAGGTTCCAAGGCTCATGCCTCACCCCATACCTTATCAATCTACTCACACAAGGAGATCAGATCAGGAGAAGAAAACATTGAAGAACACATCTTGAGATTTGATCGCAATATGTCTTACAATGGATGCCTTTTGCGATGCACGACTACAAGTATGAACTAGATGAGAGAGCACCATGGTGGTGGAGATGGCTATGGAGATGAAAATGGCGGCCGCTAGGGTTTGTGGATGAAGATGATGATGAAGAGATTATGGCTGTGCTCGACGTTCTCCCCAATGCTCTCATGTTTACATTTCGACTGGGATACTTTATAAAATTTGTTCGGGTGGACGACCTGCCTCGGTTTCCACGCCAAATGACCGCTCATGCGACCGCACGCGGTCGCATGGAACTTCATATATGACTCTGGCGGCCTCCTGGTGACTCTCCATTTACCTTCCTTCCCTTTCTCCCACATGATTTCTTCCCCTGTTAGCCCATTTCCTGTGGAAAAATATCAAAGAGAAGATTTCTGGTATCCCTTGCACTTATTAGCCATTAGTGACAACACCGAAGCAAATATCTCTCTTCTAATGAAATATCTCAGTTTAAACAAGGTTGAAATGAGTGTAAAAATATCACTCATCAACTCCCCCAAGCTTAAACTTGATCTTCCTCGAGCAACATAGAGAGAAATCCGAAGCATAAGGAACCCAGTTGTTTAACCCGAAATAACAAGAAGGTTCTAGTTCACTTACGATCGATATGCCTAGATAGTCCTCCGCTTCTTGACCTGAAAACTTATCATAGATATAGCGGTGGTATGGTTATAGAGCAAGTGTTAATGAAGCAAAGATAATCAACATAAAGTTTCTGATCTATTAGATAAAACAACTTTACAATAATCTAGACAACACTTGCTTGCTGGGAATGCATGGAAAAGTTTCTTTAGATAGAGCCATGAAAACATAAGTTAGGGAGTAGAAAACATGTAGCAAAATATAATGTTCAAGTGCTCATGAGTACCCCCACAAGTGTCTCCTCTTCTAGGCTCTTAAACACTTTGTTTCAATCATTGTTTGTTGGAACTTTGATTGACACATGAAGGAGATTATGCCAAATAAGTGATCATGCATAGGTTATCGATGTGGCTTAATGTTTGGGAACTATGGACCTTTAGCAATAATGCCTCTTTCGAGCTCTTTTGATCTATCCCCTTTATTTACCACATACACACCCGCTCAAGAGAAAGTTGAATAATATTCGTTTGTGGTGTTGCCACTACGTACGGTAACAAACTCATAGTTGAAATCCAAGTTGTCGCTCTTGATGGATCGTTCATTGGCCAGCGGAGTCCTCAACATAACATCAAGAAGGGTGACAAGGTCACATTTACACATGTAAACGCATTTATAGTAGCAAAGGCCATGGCACCAGCCGGAGGCTGTAACACCATGTTGATATATACAACACAAATTTTTGGCATAATCTCACACCTTTCAACTAAGTTTCTCTAGAGAATTTAATCTACAAGTGCTATCAAGTCTATTAAAATTAGCAACATGGGATTGAGCATGATTAAACATTACTTTCACTACAATTTCTCAACTACCAAGTCTTGAGAGACTTTCTCTTGTGCATAGTTATACTTGGTTAATAACATTTCACTTAAAAACTATCCCACGGCAAGTCTTGGTTGTCTAAGCTAAAGAAAACAAAGGCTACAAAATTATTTCAGCTATTAGAGCAAAACCTTTGTATCAACTATTAAGACTTACTCCCATCTGCACATGTCTCACATACAACCACTACATCTACTCTAAGTATTCAAGTGCAAAAGACGGGGGTCGTAGGACATACCTTCATGGTTGCAAATTTACACACTTCTCTTCCTTGATCTTGCATTCCTCATTGTCCTGGCATAGACCAACTCCTCTAAAAATAAAATGCAAACAAACTCCAAGGGGCTAAATAAAGAACAAGAGCAAAGCAAAGCTTATTCTATTTTTGGTTTTGGGGTTTTTGAAAACTATCTTGCAACCAAAAAATTGCAAAAGGCAAAAAAGCAAAAGCAAATAAAAAGAAAAATGTTGGAACAAACCAACACGAGTGTTTTGAAGCTCCTCGAGCTTAAGTGCCTCTCAGGGACAATGCGAGGTTGCTCATATCTTGGATAGAGCCTTGAAGGTTGTTGAGGTCCACGTAGGTGGTGTAGTCTTGTTGGGGCTGCTCTTCCTCTTCGTCGGTGGCGAATTCTTCTTCATCTACTTGTTTAGGTTCTGGCCCTTCTTGGTCAAATGTTGCATCTCTTTCCTGTGCAACATAATGCAATTGTCCATTCTCAATGGAGAAACGGTTAGACATAGGTGTGAGTAACAAGTACACCACTCCAGGAATTTTGATACAATGACGGCCATTACGAACTACGACCATATCAGCGCTAGTAAGAACACAGATGTAACAACGATGTTGCCGACAATGGGGCGGAGATGATTGTAGTTGAGGCCAAAGGAGTTGGCCAACATTGTGATCACTCCTCCACACATGATATCTCTTTGTGCATGGTTTGCTTGATGCGCGAGGTGTAGCAAAAGTATTGCCCCTAGGTTGGGCGAATAACCGACATCTAGGGTGGACCGACTAGGGTAAGGGTACACAATATGACCAAAACGGGGTATTGTGCATCGAGAGGCGACCAGGGTATTGTGCATCCAGAGGCAACTGGTAGCCTATTCACCTTCTCGACATACTTATAGATCCTAAAACATCGTCATTCAGTGGTCACGGACCGAGGCGGGCGGCACAACACCGTCTGCTTTGCCCCAGGATGGATCCAAGAACATAAGCAAGTGCAAGGTCGGGAAGAATAAGGTTCATTTGCATACACTCACATTAATTCGGTACAATTAACACATAGTTTATAGTACATATTTGAACATAAGCAAGTGCAAGACCTGCAAAAGAAAGGTTCATTTGCATACACACATTAATCCAGTACAATTAACACATACTCCCTCCGTTCCTAAATATAAGTCTTTTTAGACATTTTAAATGGACTACAACATACATATGTATATATACATATTTTAGAGTGTAGATTCACTCAATCACTTGTTGAAATCTCTAAAAAGACTTATATTTGGGAACGGAGGTAATACTATTTATAGTATACAGGACATTTTGTATTTCTAACCTGTAAATGCCACCCTGAGAATGTTCAAGCATAATATTTAAACAGTTGTTTAAAACAGCAAATCTAACTTATCCTCACATGCAACAACATTCAAAGATATTCGATTACCATCATCATTAATTAGCACAAAACACGACTCATAACACGCCATTTCAGAAGCAACAACCATAGTACTACCTCTGTACACTTTTATAAGACGTTTAAGATCACTAAAGCAGTGATCTACAACGTCCTGTAAAAGTTTACAGAGGGAGTACATAATATATCTGACTACATAAAACATATCGCATAGGCCAGACAAGTTCCTGCTAGCAAAAGCCTCACAAAGTTCATTAAAGAACTGTGGCTAAGTTATTATAGTTAGACAGCAGCTACTATCGGCCTCACCCATTCTTGGGTGAAGAAATATTGGGATAACATAACGGAAAAAGGGACCAGGCAACGGTAACTTCCATTTCACACGAGCCAACCTTCAGCGAACGAGAGCTTCTACCCGATTTCAATGGTTGAAAGAACACCTCACGGTCAATCTGCTGGCTGCCTAGCCAACCTGCTGCATTCACTCTCAGCTCCCCAAAGCTTTCAACAGAAACCACGCGTCGTGACAGCTCAATGGTGCCATCAGTGGCAACAACAGGCGTATCCTCATCTCCAATATTGAGCAGTAACACCCTCATGTGACTGACGCTAGCAGTCGAGGCAAAGAACCGCCCGCTGAATCCATCTGGCCATGACCCGTCGACAATACGCACACTGATTGTGGCCTCAATGGATGAGACTACAATACCACAAGTCAGCTCCAATGTGCTCAGCTTGCTTCTATGTTTTTGGCTGCTCACGCATGAACTGACGGTAGGCTCTCCCTTACTGGCTTGATAATTGATCGATTCGCAGCACTCGTAGCGAAAGCCTAGCAGGCTTAGATCTTTGTCCTCTAACTCATTGCTGCATTTCACTTTCAGCGTGATATCGAAATGCATAGGCCCAAAAAGAGTCAGAGGAGCACGGGCAGGACCTGTTAATACTAAATATGGATCCTGCATGCAACAACCACCAATTTGAGTAAACAATGAGAATATCTCGAATATTGGTATAAGAAAAAGGGAGAGCTGGTCATCAACTGTAACTTAATTTATAGTGATAATATATTGTCTTAAACTAGAAAATCTGTGGGCACAACAACAAAGAACTGAGGATGAACACAATGCCAATACACTTAATTTGGTTAGCAAGGATGTTTAAATATTTCTGAACCATTCAAACTAAAAGAGCAAATTTAAACTAATAAGTAAATTTTGAGCAGCACAATCAGGAGAAAATGTCACCATGCATTGACAATAATACAATGTGAGGTGCATAGACAAATGATGGCAGGAAACATTAGCCTAAATGCGTTAGCGTAACATATAAGAAGGAACTATAATGGTTGAGGTCTGCACATATAGCTCAAAGCATATTAGCGTAAGTAATGTCTGCAACATTTGCTTTCCAATACCTTGCAATGTTTCTAAAACATCTTGCAGCCATTTCTCATGAAGTACAGTAAAAGACAATACTAGTATGATAGTATCAAACATATACCAGGGGTTGTGAAGTAAAAACCATAACAGACACATGGTACATATAATACGGCAACACTAAAGGGAGTAATTAAAAAAGGCTTTGTTGCACAGCTAGAAACAAATAAGACATAATGAATGTAAGAAATAAGAACCTCCTCGTTGAGAGTTTGACAGTTATCCCTTTTGCGCTCAAAGATAATATTGCGATGGTGATCCAGGTCATCCCTCACAGCAACGATGCCAAACACATCCAACGGCCAACGTAAATCCCCATATATTTCCTCAACTTTAACTGAAAAGATCTGCATACTACGCCTGGGTTTAGTAACACCAGGCTTCGTCGGCTTGTCCGTGAAACACATGGCGGGGATCCGAGCTGCATGTAGTAGCAGGAGATTTCACTTCAGTTAAAGAGATATTAATCTATGCATGTGGTGACAGTAAATTGTGATTCAATAATGTCCTGCCTCTATCTATCTAGATCAATGGTGAAATTAAATATAGTGGGAACATCAATTGATCGAACATACAGCAAGAAGAGATGCAACGGAATCATCAATTGATTGGAAATATACTGTTTAGTCACTGATGAGGGATCAAACGAATTTCGATATGATAAAAGTTAGACAAAGCAGCCTGAGTTTCTGATAGAGTGGAAACACTTTGTAACGAGCCTATCAGAAATGTAAGCCCGCTGGATAGCTTTTATTTTCAAATTATAGGAAGCCCAAAAATGTTTACATTTATGGGGGACAAACAAAAGAGGAGAAATTCTATAGTTCTGAACAAGAAGTTACAGAATGAATTATAAAATCTAGAGGAGGAGACGAGAGTAATTAGCAGAGAGCAACTTGCACGTAGAGGGAAATACAAACTGGATTGGCTAAGCTTTATGAGAAAAATGAATACTATTGGTTTCAACTGCGTAGCAAGAAGTGGCTATTGGAGGGCGACAACAAAACAGCGTGCTTTCAAAGGGTAGCAAATGAGTGGCAATAAAAACATACTATTTACTCAGTGACAAAAGATGATGTGCGGATTGAAGGTTTGCCCAATTTACTCACATGCTTTTATACTGACCCATTTTGTAAAAATAGTAAGGTATACTATAGACATTGAACTTTGCAAAAATGTACGACAACATCAATTGGAATTTTCTTTTTCATTTCATAGAGAATCGAGGATTTAGTGAAACGTGGCTGAAATGGCTCAAAAGTGTTACAACAGGGGGTACTTTGAATGTCAAAATTGATTGGCAAAATATGGCACAATTGAGTGATGTGATAATCAGACACATACCATATTTGGTTGAAGAAGGGGGTATCCGTATCTATCCTACAATACACGGCTGATACTATCATACTTATGTAGGATGATTCACACGTGTAGTGTCAAATACGCTCTTATATTAGTGTCAAACGCTCTTATATTATGGGAGGGAGAGAGTAACTTTTAGTCAGTCAGGTTGGTTCATGGCCAATAAGGTAGTTAGGTGTACCAGGGCGGGCCTACTGATGAAACATTAGAGCAATTTAATTGAAAAAATGCAGAACACTAGAAAGGTT